TGACTTAGGCAAAACAGATTTCTATCTTCGACACGGGATTTTGATTTTTTACGTTGTATCTTCCAAGCAGCTCTTGCTTAGAAAATATATCTCATTGAATGGGCATCATGGCAGAGTCTGGCAAACTTCCCATGTCGTACTCAATATGCCAAATACCAGTAACAATGATGGGTCTCATTCTCCTAATCCCGAAAGAGCATGGAAATGGCTCTTTTAAAATCTCAGGGCTAGGAAGAAGGAGACGTGACTGGTGCCTGCTCGAGAAAATCGACGAACAACAGGACGATCATGATCGTGATCATGGATGGGCATACAACCCATCACAGTTTTCTTCCTCAAAGTTGTATATTAAGTCCAGTCAATGTTCTCCTTTTATTTTAGTGACCTACTCTTGTATGTTCCAATACTCAATGAGAGATCTACAAACTGATGGTGATTGGGTTGGAGAGATAGCAAAGTGGTAGGGCATTAGCCTTGCACGCGGCCAACCTGGCCGAGCCGGGTTCAATTCCTCCGCCCCTCTCGGAGAGCCCGGCAAGCTACTGAGAGTATCTCGCCCACATGGCAAAGCCTGGCAAGCTCCCCGTGACGTATTCCAAATGGCAAACACTGTAACAATAAGTCTCACGATGGAGACGTTACTGGGTCCACTCGAGCAAATCGGTGAACAACGGGAGAACAGTGCTACAGTGACAGTGCTACAGATGGTGACTGAGTGTTTATAACTCAGTAATACATCACAGAATACAGCCAGTTCTTTAGATTTACACAAATATTCTTTATTCCTGCCAAGCTATCTTTTTAAACTCTGATTTCATTTTACTACTAAATCTTGATTCTTGTTAAAGGGATCCTTTAGATTCAGACAAGGAATCTGAGACCTAATAGTGGTTCTTCTTTCTTAGAATTGCTATTCGAATTATAACTGCCCTCAGAATTATTTTTAAAATCATCATTGCTGCCTCCTGCATAGCTGCTTCATTTCTTCCCATTTATTTCCTGGACTCTTAGGATATTTTTTCTTCTAAACTTTGTTGCTGGTCTAGGAAAATGAAGTTGTATACAGAGTTGATCTATAGGTCTGATCACAGAAATGCAATGGACAGTGCTCTTTTTTGCTGTGATGAAATAACAGTAATATCAAAGGGTGAGACATATATGTCATTCACATACATACACACACTCTCTCCCACACACACATACATGTTACATACACCCACTATTTCATAAATCCTTCCCTCTGCACTATGAACACACACAACTTAATGCACTCTTACATATGTACACCTGCATGACAGTAAAACTCCACTGTATAGTGGGATTTTTCCTAAAATACAATTACACTCATGTTGTCATAAAATAGTGCTCTAAATTGACACTATCACCTTTCTACGTCTTTTAATATTGGAAACTAGGTATTTAATACACCTGGGTAAACTTCAAATACTCAAGGGTACATTTCCCTCTGTCTTTTAACTACAAACCTAGATATGTAGAGATGCAGGATAAACAGGATAAAGCTCATACTCTAATAACAATGGGCATTGTGAGGGTACAGAGGACATTAGAGAGAGCACATTATTAATTTTATTCCATGACTGTACCTCTGCTTAACTCTTCACACTGAATAAGAATCTGTCAAGAAAATCTCCTGAATTTTATAGTTTAATAAAAATATTTTTATCCCCCACATCTGTAGAGCTTGTTCCTATGACTACTCTCCCTATAAATATCCCTTCTGTATGATAGCTAATATTTTTAAACATGGAATGAATGGCAATACTTGATTCATTCCCATTTATGTTTACTTGTAATAATACAAGAACACAAGGAAAATCAATGAAATTTAAGAAATGCTCAAAAGAAAATTTCATTTTCATTAGAGAGAAGTAAACTGTGTTGTATAATTAAAAAAAAGTGAAGTATAGATACAAATTTCACATGTAAAGCCTTCTGTATAGGTTTTGTTTCCGAAAGGAGAGAGTAATTACACAAGAAATGTACTCCATAGGCAGAGTCAACAGAAGCAGGGATGTCTCTAGTTAGACAAGTAGATATATTTGATTTTTCTATTAAATCCTAGAGGGCAATGCCCAAATCATATAGACTTTAAGAAGAGATGGGTGTTATGTCTAAATTATCTTTTCTTTTCCGTTCAGGAAAATTGCAGGGGAAGAAGCCATTACGTCTGAAACCACGGTTTCAGGAAAAGAAGGGGGAATTTATGTAGCATGGGAAGAAACACCAAAATGTCTCCAAATGTGTCACTCACAGCATCACCCTCGGCGGGCAGCTCTTTAGAGAACACAGCACAAGCTATGTCCGAGCATTACAAATGACATAATGCCTTCATTCAGCTTGCAATTAGGAACAATTCTGCTTCCTGCTGAAAACCACAGATAGCTTGTGAGTTGTATCAGTAAAATGCCCTTCCTCCCTAAATAGAGAGAATTCTGCAATAGCAACCCATTCACAAGGAGACACTGCCTATAGCCTAGATTCTGCCACGGCTACATCTTGGAGCCCAATTAAATGTTTTTTGATTTCCTAATACAAGAGTTACGTAGCTGTTGGAGTAAGCTTCTTTGTTCATTTTTTGGTGTTGTTATTTTGCCAGTGGAATCACATCATTGAAAACACCTCTAATATCTGTATTCTGGAGAGTTTTACCTGTTTCCATCAATGTATTTTATGGATTCGGACATAACTTTTCTAACCGACTTGAGATTGATCCATTTTAATTTTTTGCTTGTGAGTACTCAGTTTTCCCAAGATGATTAGTTTAAGAGGCTTTCCTTGCTCCACTTTATGCCTCCAGGTTCTGTGTCAGAAATTAACAGAAGAAATGGGAGAGTTGGGGCTGGAGCAATAGTTCAGCAGGTAGGGCACTTGCCCTGCACACTGCTGACCCAGGTTCGGTCCCCAGCATCCCATGTGGTCCCCTGAGCACTGCCAGAGTGATCAGTGAGTGCAGAGCCAGGAGTAACCCCTGAGCATCGCTGGGGGTGATACAAAAGGCCAAAAAAAAAAAAAAGAAGTGGGATAATTTTTTAAATGAACGTAATTAATGGAAAAATGCTTGTACCTTGTACATCAGATAAAGTGCTGAAATCTCATATACGAGGCACTCATAAAGACAGCAATGGCAACAAACCACTCCATCCAAAAATGGGGAGATGAGATAAACAGACACTTCCACAAAGAGGCCATACAAGATTATGAGTAGGTATGTGAAAAAGTGTTTTTCATCACCTATTATCAGGGAAATGCAAATAAAGAAACAACGAGATACCATCTCACCCTTGTGGGAATGGTGTATATTGGTATGCTGGAAGCAAGCAGAGCTGGTGATAATGTGCTGAAAAAGAAGCCTCGTTCACTCTGGGTGAGAATGTTATCTGGTTTACTCCCCATAGAAAAGTGCATAGTTATTTCTCCAAAATAGCAGAGAAAGACTGACATATGACCCAGCGATCTAACTTGTTGGTGCCTACCCCAAAAAGACAACTCATGAATTTAAAAAGATGTATACAGACCTATGCTCATTGCTGTGTTTTATACAAAATGGAATATCAAAACAACCCAAAAGTTCATCAAAAGATGAATGAATAAAAAAGTTGGTAAATACAGCCATAAGAAAAGATGGAATATTGCAGTTCAGTGGATCGTAGTGGATGTTATCATGTTAAGAGAAATAGGTTCTGGGGAGAACAAATACCAGATAATCTCATTCATCCATGGTATATAGAGAAACAAAATACAGGAATAGATAGTATCAAGTAATAACAGGCCCAAGGCCCTCCGTTACAAAATAGAGGTTCCTAACCAAGAAGGGAATGGGGGTTGAAAGAGTAGACAGGAAGTGACATAAGAACATGGGTGGAGTATCTTTGGCACTTTGGCCATGGGGACATATGCTGTGTACACTGTTAACATTTTTCTAAACAGGTGACCAAAGCTTACTTTATTTTTAATGTTTCTTGGAACTACTAATTATTTTATTTGTTTATTTTTGGCTTTTTGGTCACACCCGGTAATGCTCAGGATTAGTCCTGGCTCTGCACTCAGGAATTACTCCTGGCGGTGCTCAGGCGACCATATGGGATGCTGGGAACTGAACCTGGGTTGACCACTTGCAAGGCAAATGCCCTACACACTGTACTATCGCTCTAGCCCCATGGCCACAGCTTTGATGACTTAACAAACTTTTTTCCTTAAAAACCACTAGAAATAGTAGTCAGGAAGTCTGAAAAAACAATAGCATTCTGAATGTCTCAATGTCAACTCTAAATAACTTGGGGACACCATTGTTGTCCCTTGGAAACTGCCTGGCTGGAAGAGAGCCACTAGTTGCTTGTATTTATACTATTATTTACAGATTAAGCTAGATATACTTTTGGTGGTATGAAATCCATTTGATATTACATAAGGACATGCTTTATCACGAAATTATTGTAATAGCATGCTAAGAATAACCTAGTTTTAAGATACTAAACTACGTGAGAAGCCACTTTTGCATGTTTAAGTAATTTTACAAATATCAAGATAATTGTCTAGTAGACATGAACATTAGATATTTCAGACACCATTCCAGCTCTTACGGTAAGCTAAGTCACATGGAACGCATGTGATCTCATGGTACAGATCGAGCTGTGCACAGCCCTGCAAACTCTTTGTTCTTGCAAAGTCTGTTACTGTTACCTGAAGCCAATGTTACCTGTATTGGGTGCCCACTAAGCTTTTAAACCATTTTCCCCCCTAAACAGTGCTTTTAAAATCCCACTGCATAGGAAGTCCAGGGTAAATGAGCCTTAAACTAAATATTAGTAACCAGAAGAAATCAGCTTCTGTCTTTGTTTTTCATAGGAATTGGGTATCAGCCTTTTTAATCTGGCTAGGACAGGGGTTATATCTGCTTGCTTGAATCCTCTCCGTTCTATCCCTACAGCCTTAATGCCTTCACCAACTCAGGTCACTAATGCAACCTCCATCCTCTGATGAGACCAGATTTCTGAAAGAGTGTTTAGAATCCTCCCCTCCGTTTCAGACTGCAGTGGTAATCTGAGTTAAGCCTAAATCAGGGCACTCTTCTCTTCCTGCAGAACTGTAAGAAGACATCTCCACGACTAGTCATACTGGCTTACTCATCCCATCAACATCCCTCGTGTAAGCAGGATCCTGAATTGTGTTTTTGACTCTAGTGGTGGTCTGTCGCTCCATCCTCATCCTAAGGGGAAAGCAGAAGTCTCGGAAACACCTCTTGAAGTTCTCGTCGAGAAAGGCATAGAGGATAGGGTTCAAGCTGCTGTTGGTGTAGCCCAAGGCAATGCAGAAGTAATAGCTGGAGAGGGCCGCTGAGCTGTGGGACGTGCTCCCCAGCGCCTCCACCAGGATGAAAATGTGGATCGGGGTCCAGCAGATGATGAAGACGGCCACGACCACCAGGACCAGCCTGGTGATGCGACGCAGGTTGCGATCTTTCTCTCGGGAGCCAGAAAGAAGCCGGACGCTCTTCAGCCGCAGGATCATCAAGGTGTAGCAGACGATGATGATGAGGACCGGGATCACGAAGGCGAAGATGAAGACACAGAGCTTCATGAAGAGGTCCCACCAGGAATAGTCGGCGTCCGGGAACTGCAAGGAGCACTCAATGACATCCACATCTGGAGGGATCAACAGAAACCAGGAACATCAACGAAACCAAGAACAGCAAAACCCAATCATTCGCAGAACTCTGATACAAGATGTTCACTCTGCATGCAGTGAATTCTACTTCCTTGGTTGCAACAATTTTATCTAAAGCAGATGACCGAACTAAGAATGAATGCCATATGCTTTTTTTTTTTCGCTTTTTGGGTCACACTCCGCATTGCAAAGGGGTTACTCCTGGCTCATGCACTCAGGAATTACTCCTGGCAGTGTTCAAGGGACCATATGGGATGCTGGGAATCGAACCCTGGTCAGCCGTGTGCAATACAAACACCCTACCTGCTGTGCTATAGCTCCAGCCCCAAATGTGTGTCTCATTTTTAAAATTTTTTAACGCCATATGCTTTTAACCTATCTTACAACAAGTCAGAAAGTCATCATTCATTGTTAGCATAGCCAATGTGATTGAATAAACAAAGGGGGTTAAGAATATCTACTTGTGGAATCTGATTTGAAAACTTGGTTCAGAACTGATAAGCTGCCTTAGCATTCACCTTCCCAGTTATTTTAAATTTTCACATAGCTAAAGTTTCTGACAAAAAGGAATATCTAAAATTTCTAAGTATTTCAGATCCAGCCACTAAATATAACAAACACTAGTTTCCCTGAAATAATTAACTTGTTTACAATAAACATCAGGTCAATACAAATTTATATAAACATTTTCCAAATGTGAAGTATGTATTATGCTTTACTTGGAATCAAAGGTGAAAATTAAAATCCAGGGCATTGTTGAAATAGAAAATTGTTTGAAATTTAGAGATACATCAAGGGGAAAAGATGAAAAATATCAGAAGAGGAGAAAAGCAAGGGAAAAAATCATGAATTAGTGAGACAAGCACATTTCTTATTTTGTCACCACTGTATAAATGAGCTAAAACAAATATATATATGTATATATATATATATACATATGTATCTGATTACTTAGAAAGCTGCACTCCAGACTGTCAGACTGTCTCTCTTTGCTCAAGAGCTCTTTCTTTGGAGAGGATTTAATATGTGAAGGAGCAGAAACAAGAAAGAGGAAAGATTCAGGATAAGAAATTTTTATATTATTTTTACTGGGGCTCTTCATCCCTTCAAGGTTTCATTTCAAACATCTACAACCCTCTGCCTTTTCGCTTGTCTGGGATGGGCCCTAACACCCAGCAAGCAAATCTCTGCCCTGATCCTGCACACACAAAATCAACTATTAATGTGAGTGCAGTGAGTGAATGAACCTACAAGTGAAAGATCTATAATGATTTTTTACACTGAAAAAAATTACATAACAAAATAGCACAAAAAATATTTAAGCTGATAGCTCTATTAATAATGTTTTATAAAACATTTAACATGATTGGAATAAAATGATCCTAAGTAAAACATAATGTATCTTCATAGCATTTCAATCAGATATAATTAAAAATGCAAAGGATATAATTATTTTCACAAATTGATAAACTTTACCAGCTGGTGTATAGCTTTTATCAATATTTACAAGTTTTGATTCTGCAATACAAAAATCACAATTGTAATTACTAAGAAGACTGCTAGAAAATAGCATGCACCTTTTAATTTTTGATTTACTATTTACAGGAATAATAACAATTGAAATCATTTTTTAAAAATTATTACTTAATCATCAAGCCAGAGATACAGTATAGGAGGTAAGAAGTTTGCTTTGCCTACAGCTGAACCGGTTCAATTCCCAGCACTACATATGGTCTCCAGATGTCATGAGGGGTCACCCCAGAACAGAGTCAGACATATTCCTGAGCACTGAGGCATGTGACACAACCTCTTCTTTCCTCCAAAAATAAAAGTTACTATAATCACAGAAAATTATTTATTATACAACTCTTGGGCTAGAGCTATAGCTCAGTGGAAGGGCGTTTGCCTTGCATGTGGCCAACCCAGCCGACCCAGGTTCGATTCCTCCGCCCCTCTCAGGGAGCCCAGCAAGCAACCGAGAGTATCAATTGTTCTATTTTTTTGCTTAAAAATTGTGCATTCCAGTGCTGTCTCGTTCTTGTGGCTGCTGATACATTTGGATAGTTCGCAACCACGGAGCTTTTAACTGCTTATATTATACTCATCCTACTAATTCTCTAGACAGGAGCTCTTTTGTCATAATGGGCTATCTTTCCTAACAGTTTCCTCTCTAAACTATTTTAAACTACCAAGGAAATTCAAATAAAATCACAACTATCATTTAAATATTATGTTTTAGGAGAAAATAGCATATTTTTCACTCTAAGTATACATAAAACTAATTCAAACGCATTAGAGATTGGATGTTGACTCTAAAAGCATGAAGTTAATATAAAAACAAACTAAAGTGTCTGAACATCAGAGATCTATTTGGACACTCAACTTCATTCGCCAGGGAAACAAAAACAAGAAAAAAAAAGACAACGTTGCTAGACATAAAATCTCTACACAACAAAATATGCTATCATAAAAACAAAAGGACAACACAGAATTTGGGAACAGATATGTGTATCTGTTATTGGGGTTATTGTAAATTGTAACAAAGGGGTTATTGTAAATTGTAGAAAGAAATCATGCAAATTAGCAATAAAAAAGATATTCAACCAATTTTATGAAAGTGGGCTAAAGTCCTGGATGAGCACTTCGCCAAAGATCTATGTGGCCCACAGACATGTAAAATGTTCAGTGCCACTTATTAGGGAAATTCAGGGAAATGCAGATCAGAACCCTGAGCAAACACTTAATGCCTGAGTAGATGATCTGTATCAAAAGATCAGACATGACAAGTGTTGGTAAGTATAGAAAAAATTCATGATACACTGTTGGGAAGGTAAATTAGTGCGGTCTTTATAGAGAAAGATATAGGGGTATATTTAAAAGCAGAATTTAAATATCCTGCAATTCAGCAATACCACTCTTAGTTATTTACATAAAGGACATAAAAACACCAACTCAAAAACTTCTTCCCCTCTGTTTATTACAGCATTATTTACAAAAGTCAAACTATAGAATCAACCTAAATGTCCACTGACAAATGATTGTATAGATCACTTTAAGTATTTTTAAATGTATAATATTTATGTAACTTTAGACACCTAAAATATGTCTAATATGTAGCAAACAAGACTATTTTTCCTCTAAAAATACCATTTGGGATAAACAAGATGAAGCTTGCGGTGATTATCCTAAGTCTAATTGGTTAAGAAATTAAAGACAATGGATTGTATTCCGTATATGTGGGCTGGAAATAACTAAATCATATAAACTGGCAAATATGCAACATAACCCTAGACTCGTCTAAACCATGGGGGCTACCATGGTTGGGGCATAAGTGGGTGTGTTCTGAAAGTTTGGAATTGGGTGTGATAAATCCTATACAAATAGAGAAGTTAAATTATACACCTGCCATCCCATAGCTCTGCAAATGAAAAAATAGCAAAAAAAAGTGAAACAAATGAATTAAAATGTTTAAGAGGCAGAGGCATTAGTACCACGGATAGGGCACTAGCCTTGCTTGTAGCTGACCCGAATTCTATCCCCAGCATCCCATATGGTCCCTGGAACACTTTCGGGAGTGATTCCTGAGTGCAGAACCAGGAGAAACTCCTGAGCATTGTTGGATGTGGCACAAAACCAAATTATATTTTAAGTGTGCATTTTTATATGATGTAACAATTGTGCCTATAGTTGCAAAATTAGAAAGACATGCAAATATATGGACACAATGATACACATAAAGTGAGTATTGGTGGAAGAATGACATAAACAGTAATACAAAAGTCAGTTCAGGATTTTAAGATCTACTTTTAACTATGAAGAGATACTTTAATGGAAAGTATCATGCTAAGCGAAATGAGTCAGAAAGAGAGGGACAGACATAGAAAGATGGCATTCATCTGGGGAATATAAAGTAACAAAATGGGAGACTAACACCCAAGAATAGCCGAGATAAGTACCAGGAGGTGTGCTCCATGGCTTGGAGGTCAGCTGCACATGCTAGGGGAAAAGGCAACTCAGAGAAGGGAGCACCAAATAAAGGGAATTGGGAGGATCCTCGCAGGATGGGAGATGCATGCTGAAAGTAGACTATAGACCGAACATGATTGTTACCCATTGCCTCTTTTGCAAACCACAACACCCAACAGGAGAGAGAGAACAAAAGGGAACGTCCTGCCACAGAGGCAGGGTGGGATGGAGGGGAAAGGGGGTGGGAGGGATACTGGGATCCGTGGTGGTGGGAAATGGGCACTGGTGGAGGGATGGGTGTTTGATCATTGTATAATTGAAACCCAAGCACAAAAATTTGTAAGTCTACAACTGTACCTCATGGTGTTTCACTAATAAAACTTTTGAAGAAAAGAATAGATACCTTAAATAGAAAACCAAAGAGGAATAGAAGATTTAAGCAACACTATACCTAAAATATATTTTATAGACTTCTGCAAAACCTTCCATTCAAGAGAAAATATAGTCTTCTCAAATATAAAAAAAATCTACCAAACTGATCATGCATATGCCACAAAATATGTCAAAACATTTATAAATATTATAAACATATCAAGCATCTTTTCTAACAATAGAAATAAAAGATTGGAAAGTGCTGAAAAATCATAACTGTATAGAAATTAAGTAACACACTTCTAAAATAATAACGTGTCAATAGTAATCAAGGGGAAATTTTTGTTTGCTTTTGGGGGGTCAGGGGCCCACACTTGCAAGGCTCAAGGGTCACTCCTGGAGGTGCTGGAGGAACTAATGTAGTTCCAGGAATAAAACCTGGGTCAACTGTGTACAAAGTAGTCACTTTACGTTTCTGGTCCCCAGAAATGAGAATTCTTTTAATAATCTCCAAGGCAGGAATCAAAACACAGGGCAGGAGTGAATGAAGTAGAGATATTGGAAAATAATACAAAGATAGTTTTACATTCTAAAAGGTGAAAAAATGAATAAATGCTTAGCTAGACTAGGAAAAGACACA